GCTTCGTCGCCGCCGCCCGCGCCCGGCTCCTGCCGCTCGCCTCCCTCCTGCGCCCGCTCGGCCCCCTCGCCGGCGGCCGCCGGCGCGGTGTCCTTCCCGCCGCCCGCCTCGCGGCCGCCCCGCGCCCGCTCCGCCCCGTCCCCGGCGGCCGCCGGCGCGTCCCTTTTCTCGCCGGCCGCGCCGCCCCCCGCTTCTGCGTCGCCCTCCGTGGCCGCGCCCCCGCTGCCACCCTCCTCAGGCGGGGCGTCGTCGGCGTCGTCGCGCTTTGGCGGGCCGCGTGTCTTTGCGGGCGGCCGCTGCAGTACCCAGCTGCCCGCCCTGGATTCTGTGTAACCCAGGCCCTCGAAAAATTCGGGGACGGACCACGCCTGGACCTGTTGGCATGGCGGGATGCGGACATCGGGGACGTGCGGCGCGTGCACGTACCGCGTGCGTTGTGCTCCAGTGCGCGCGAGCGAATAGTTGCATTTGGGTGCATGCGTGTGGACCGCCCCGCCATCGACGCCGAGGGAAGTAGGAGGGACACGCCGGGCCCCGCCCCACCATCCGCTACTGGGGCGCGGGTGGGCGCAGACAGAGCGGCTCTGCGACCTGCACCCCCCAATGTCCCCCCCCCCTCGGCATCATAGTAGGGGAAGGGCTGTTGCGCCGGGGTAGCTGGGGGAGGGGGAGTTACGCATCAAGACCCGCCCCACCTTTTTCGGGACTGCGAGGGTCTTGGCCAGCCGCGGCGGCGGCGCCAGCCCGCCCTCCGGCTCCTCATACGCCACAAATGGCAGGCTGCCGCGGATGGTGGTCTTTGGGGTGGGGGGGCAGGGGAGAGCAGGGGGTATGCCATTGTCACAATTCCGGATGCTCGAGGTCGGCCGCCTAGCCGCACCCGGGCCGCGGCGGACGCGGCGCGGGCGTCGCCGGCCGCACAGCAGCCGCGCGCGCGCCGAGACGCAGTCGCCGCGCCAGGTAACAGGGCGGGGTTTGCCGCCCGCAGGCGAGCGTGGCGGCCCGGGCGCCGCCGCCGCGGCCGGTCGGTCGGTCGCGGCACGCCAGCTCTGCTCAGCAGGGCCGCGGCGCTGCCGGGCCGCGCGGGCCGCTCGCCTGTGCGCCGTACAACACCAGTTGCCCCGTCCCCGCAGGAGATGCGATCTGCGGGGTTGAAACATCCGGTGCAGGGCGGCGCGGCGCGTGAGCCTCGGGTGGCATCCAAGCGCGTCGGCGAGGGTGGGCGCCAGCAGAGGCTCCCACCCGCCACCCCGCAGCCTTGGAGCGGCCGCCGCGCGGCCCGCTGGCTGCCTCCAGCCGGACGGCAGCCGGCGCGACCGCGGCCGGCCATGGCAGCCGCACCCTAATGAGTGACACGTCCTTGAGCTTGAATGAGTCAAGGGTGACGGCCTGCACCTCCTCAACCCCCTTGGCCACAAAGAGGCTGCCTGTTGTGTTTAGGGGGCAAGGGAGGCAGGGAGTGGCGTTTGTGGCGAGGACGCAGCCTGGTCGGCGGGCGAACTGCTTTTTCTTGCCAGGCTTCACACACACACACGCACACACACACACGCGCGCACACACGCGTGTTGCGGGAAGGCACACACACTCGCGCATTCACACACACACGCACACGCGTGTTGTGTGAAGGCACACACACTCGCGTGCGCACGCACACACACGCACACGCGTGTTGCGTGAAGGCACACACACTCGCACACACACACATGCACACACACACACATGCAACTTCGCGCACAGCAGCACGGCCCAAGGGCCCCTGGTTATAGCCAGTAATTTGCAAGCCCCAGAGTACAGGCGCGGCCGCCGCCCACCCACCTTCCTCCCCGACCTCGGCTTCATCACCGCCAAGAAGCCTGCAGCACAGCGCGGCAGCGACCAGCACCACCGGACAGAGCCCGGTTTGCACTAGCGGGTAAACACCGTTGGTGCAGCTCACGCGCCTGCCCGTGCTGCCGCTGCGTGCGACTGCTGGTGCTGCCGCTTGCTGCTGCCGCTGCTGCTGCCGCTGCTTGATACCACCCACGCACCCCCTGCATCGCGCGACGGCGCGCCGGCAGGCCGCAGCAGCCGGGCCGGCTCCAGCGGCGCCGCGCGGCACCCTGCGGCTCCGCGGGCGGCACCAAAGGGCAAAAACCCGCGCACCCGTCTGAGGCCTTGAGACTGCCGGCCGCAAAGGACAGCGCTTGGGAGTGCACGCGCATGGTCCCCGCGAAGCCGTTGATGATTGAGTTTGCATTCGCGAGCTGCGAGCACACAACATAGGGGAGTGTGCGGCATCGAGCCGCGTGCGGGCGGCCGGTCGCTCGGGACGGCCAAGCGCGAGCGGCGCTGGGAGCGCGGCTGGGTGGCGGCAGCTGCAGGCACTGGGGGCTTGCGCCGGCGTTTGATGATTGTGGCATGTCTGTGCACGAGCATACACTAAGAGTTTCAGCCGCGTTCCAGGGGCTGTGACCCAGGCCGTCTGCCTGCATGACGCGTGCAGAAGCATACGCCACGCGGGTCGGCCCACCTGCGCCAGCTTGCGCTGCGGCTCGAAGCAGTGGACTGCGCCGCGCGGCCCGGCCTTGGCCGCGAAAAAAACCGCGTACGACCCTGAATTGCTGCGGTCAAAGAGGGCGGGGCGGGCGTGCAGGACTCGGGTGCGAGGCGCGTTGTTCACGGGCCAAGGAGAGAGAAGAGCCCCCTATGGCCGGAGGGACGGGGAGGAAGTGCGCGCCGGGCGGACCAAATCTGTCGGCGACCCGGCCGCGCCGCCGCAAGCGCGGGAGCCCCGCTGACCCACCCTCCGCCTCGCATATCGTTTGTCCCAAAGTCGGCCTCGACTGTGCACCCCTTGCTCCATGGAACCCTCCCAACCCTCAGCTGCCGCCCCCGCTTCAAGGGCTGCGCCCCCAACCCTCCTGACCTGCCCCGCCCGGATCCAACAGGATGCCTCTCTTCCCTTCCCTTCCCTTCCCTTCCCTTCCGGCCCCTGCAAGCGCACCACTCTGTGTCCACCACAGTGCTGCCTGCCTTCACGCGGGGCAGCATCTGGGCGGTCGCCTGAGGGTCCAGGCCGGCGCCCGCGGGCCGCCCGGTCCGCAGGAACGCCGCGCCGGCGCGCGCGTCGCCCGCCACGGCGAGCAGCGTCGCGCGGACGCCAGAGAGCGACACGTTGCGCGCGGCGACTGCGGCGCGGGGAGGATGGGTGTGCATGCGGCTGGGGAGATTGCGTGCGGCGCGTCGCGGGGCGCAATGTCGAGCGGGCTGGGGCGCCGGCTGTTGTCGGTCTCAGCTGCGGCGCTGGATGCGCGGCGGGGTCGCGGGCGAGGCGGCTCCAGAATTCAAACCTCTCCGCGGCTGCCCTCACCGTTGCCGTTCAAATAGAGGGCCCCGCCTCCCGCGCTCCGCGGGCCGCCGCCGCCGCCGCCGCCGCTGCCGCCGCCGCTGCTGCCGGCGCCGCCGCGGGCGGCGGCGCTGTTGCTGCATGTGCGGGCGCAGGTGGCGCCCGTCTTCTTCACCGCGCGGGTCAGCTTCCTGGCAGAGATGACGCGCGCACCGGAGGGGGTTTGGGTCGAAGATTCGACCCCAGTCAGCGTCGCACACTCGGCCAGTCCAAACATTGTGGGGAGACCAACGCAGGTGCACTGACAGGGGGAAAACGCGCTACAGGGTGCTTTCAGACTTATTTTGTGGCGTTTTGTGCCGCCTGGTTGAGCCGAAGATCCCAAGCTGACAGCTCCCGGGTGCGCGCCAGCCAACACACAAACCGATTGGGACACGGCCGCGCAGCCAATCGCGACGAACCCGCCGATACCGACCCCGGCTGTGCGCTCCGCGCGGATGACATCAGCAGCCACAGCCGCCCCTCGCAGCGCCGCGACCTGAGGCCGCTCACCGCCGCATCCCCTTCATCTGCGATTGGACCTGGGTCATGCCTGCCAGGAGGCTCTTCATGGTGTCTTGTTGGGACGTCAGCTTTGGCCCCACGCCCTTCAACTCGCCTGCCAGGCGGTCAAAAGCCAGCTGGTTGTCTGGGACCTCCCTCCGGGCCGCCACTGCTTTGCAGTCCGCCTCTATGCGCTGCATCTTGTCGGTCGCCACCTGAGAGGCCCGGGGGTCCGCGGCCGGTGCTCGCGCCGTGGCAGAGCGTCGACAGGGGAGCGCAGCCGCTGCGCAGGTGCGTCGGGCTCTCCCCGCGCCCGCCTTGCGCGCGTCGGCGTGCACGCAGGGCGGGGCGCGCGCGCCAAGGCGAAAGGAATGCCTGTGACGTCCCCGGTCCGGCGGCGGCGCGGGGCGGGGCCCGGACTGCGCGGCGCCCGCCGGCGGCCGCCGCAGCTTCCCCGCACCTTCCCGACCATGTCCAGGCACTGCTTGATGGCTGACTCGCGCATGACTGTGTGCTCGCGATAGCGAATGAGCGACGTCAGCGTGCTGCCTAGGGTCAACCCAACGACGAATATCGCGGCTGCCTTTATGGTGACTGGGTGGGGCGCGCGGCCCACTCGCGGCGCCTCAGCCATGTTGCCACTGCCCTGCCTCAGGCCCAGGCGGCGGCCGTGGCGCTTGGCTTTCCCGCCTTCTTGCGGTCTCCTGTGATGGGACAATGAGGGCGCAAGGTCAACGGCGCAGCCTGCAGTGCTTCTTGGATTGTGCCTGCAGTTTTGATGTTCATCGACGGAGGGCTCGGCGATGCGCGATGCCGCGGACAGCAGAGGCGGGAGCTGCGGCAGAATACAAACGGCACACCACGAGACAGCGAAAGGATCTGATCTAGTCCTTGTAAGTGAACCTCACTGGGCCGGCCGAGTGCTCAGCTGCGTTGTTCACTGGTTTGTCCTCCTTTTTATATGATCTCGGAGCTCTGCACTAGGAGAGAACCCGTTGTGTTGTCACTTACAATAAAAACTATTGTATTACCTTGTATATACAACATCTGAATGCGATGGCCCGGCCACTACCGTATCTAGTTCACCATTTGATGCGAAGTGAATGTCAGGAGGGCGCTTGCCAGGCCGCACTGCGTTCCCTCGATGCACTGCATGCATTACCTGTCAATCAATGCCGGAGGGCGCCTGCTCGTATGATATGCTCGTCGCACGCGGCGCCGCTGGCCAACACCATGCGGTTCTTCGATCTGTGCTGCTGCACTTGGCGGCGAGCGCTCAAGCAGCACAGACTCAGGCAGTCGCAAGAAGACGCACAGTCCAAAGCAAGTCCAACCTGCACCGCAGCTTTTTGTTCAAGCGGCCCCAACCCCAGTCATCAGGGTGCAATCTGCGCGGCACCGCTGAGTTGCCTGCGTACAGCGCCACTCCTCTGATCCTTGGAACATGGTTGCGGTAAAGCTATCAAAATAGCAGTTCGTGACTCCATGTTTAGGGTCAGCAGGGTGCTGCGCAGTGCCCAAGGCTTGCAGTGCAACAGAGGGGCCTGGGGGTGATACGGTACAAACCAACACCTTGAGGCATCAGGGGGGCTGCTCTGGTGGCCGTGCATGCGCAGGGCGCAAGCCGCCAGCTGCTGCACCTGTAGGCCTCCCAGGCCACTTAGGCAGAAACGGCAGCTTGTTCAAAACACATGCCGAGTCCCCCACGCGCCCCACTTTCAAAGTTGTTGACGAGACAGCTAGCGGCCCCCCAAATGGGATATTTCGGCCTTGTCAGGCTGACTGACATCGAAGAGCTTTGGTCGACACAAAAGTGGATCTGCACCTGCAATCGTTCGGGGCAACGGCTGGCGCTCCAGTGGTTGACCCACAGCCTTGGGTGTGCTTGGGCAACACCCCAAACCTCGGCAGTACACAGTGTGTAACTGTTACCAAGCTGCTGCACGACTCATCCCCACAAAAACAGGGGTTCAGATGAGACAATCATCGGCACTTATTGGGGCTGCGCCCCAGCATGCATCCCCACATCGGATGCGAGCGCATCAACAAATTTGTTGAAAACCTTTAAAGGTTTGAAACATCAAAGCGAAGCCTTCGATCTCGGCCCCGGCGGCGCTCGACGGCGCCCAAATTTCAGACGCAGCACTGGCTGAACTCAAGGCCGTTGGGGTCGGCGTCACCGCAGCACCTGGGCGCCTTCCTGGAAGCGTCGTCCGGCTTCCTGCCGGCCTTGATGGCCGCCTTGTCCGCGTTGGGCACGCCGTCGCGCAGCACGCGGCACACCTGGCAAACAGAGGCGGAGTCGAGACGGCAACGGGGGCGGCGTGCCCGCGGCCGCTCGCGGAGTGGTGTGCGGGCAAAATTGCCTTCGCTTCGCTATCCTGTCAGCCCTGAACCTCTTTCACACAATGTCGATGATTCAAAGTTCGTTTACCTTGAGCGTGGATGGCTTCGCAATCAGGCGAGAGCCGGGCGCTGGCTTTGTAACACCTCCAACCTTGACCGTTATTCCCACCTTTGGGCAGTCGCTCTCGTCGCTGTACTTGCCCTCGCACTTTGGGTAGCCCGGCGTCAACCCGAAAGGCGTCTTGCCGGAGGCGTCTCTGGCCCCCAGGTCGGCGCCCCACGCCAGCAGCACCTCCGCGGTGGCGGCCGCGCGGGGGTCCCACGACAGCCTGCGCCCCGCCACACAGCCGAGCGAGGCGATGATTGCGTGAATTTGAGTTGTGAATGGATGCAAGCGTACCCCTGTTATAACTGGGAAAAATCGGCACCGCAGCACCACCTCTGCGGCCTCAGCAAGTGGCAAACGCAGCGCCAGGTGCGTGCAGCAGCTGGTGGCGGCGTGCGGGTCCCAATATTTATGCATGGAGCACAAGGGAGCACGAACCTCATCAACCCCACCGTGTACAGCAACAATTGGTGTACACGAGACCATCGTCAGCCCCACCTGAAGTCGCATTTCGCCGTCTGGTGCAGGGGCGTCGTGCCATCCTTGGCCTTGCCATTTGGGTCGGCCCCAGCCTTGAGCATCATTGTCACCAGGTCGTCACGGCCGTCGTACGCGCTGCAGCATCAAGGGAATAATGACAGCACGGCCGGCGGAGGGGTCGCATTGCGGCGACCGTCAACCAACGTTGGGCAAGAAGCGAGCGTCCTCCAGGGCAGTAGTGGCTGGCTGCCACCTATGGGCGCGCCACAACGGCGGAGAAGCCCGGCCTCTAGGCCGACAGAAAAATGTATTGAAGAATTCTAGAACAGGGGCGCTCGCACCCGCGCCCTGACCCCGCTGCTCGGTGCCAGCTGGCTTCAGGGCAGGCGCGGCCCCAAGGCTCACGGCCAGAGCAGCGGGGGGCTGGCGCGCTCTGAGGTGGGTGGGGCGAAGGGGATTCTGGGGTCAGCCTTGGCGTCCAGCAGCAGCTTGACGGCGTGGTACACCTCTTCAGTGTAGGGGTGCCTGTGAAGTGTGTGTGTGCGTGTGTGTGTGTGTGTGTGTGTGTGTGTGCGCGCGCGTGCGCGCTTGCATGCATTCACGCGGAGGGAAGTCAAAACAACGTCGTACTCTACAAAGGCGTCAGCGCTCTGCTGGCTTGGCAATGTGTTCTGGCCAATTCTGCAACCAACCGTCGAGTTGCTGCGCCCACTGCAAGATGCAGCCAGCTCTGGACGCCAGGTCCGCAGGGGAGCATGCGCCTGCGCCGTAACATGATGGGGACCCGCAGGCAGCAAAGTGGCGCCGCATCGTCGGGCGCGTCGCGGTGGCCGTGCCGCACCAGTAAGGCTCGCTGGTTGTCATCAGGGCGACTTGGAGGGGCGTGAGGCCGTGCGCCTCCCGCTGGTTCACGTCGGCGCCCTTTGCAATCGCAGCCTTCATGCCCTGGGGAAGGGTTGGGGTCCGCGCAAACAGACAGACGGAAAGGGCCGGGCCTGTGGGCCCACTGGGGCTTCTGCATGCGAGGCAGTGGTTGGGGAGCAGGTGGGAGCACTGCCCCCAGCCGGCAGCTACCCCCAGCTGGCAGCTGCCCCCTGCTGGCAGCTGGCCCTAGCTGCTGGCAGCTGCTCGGGGGTGACCGCGGCAAACGTCATGTCGTCGTGCGGGCGGAGCCGGGTCCTGTCAAGCAAGGCCTTCATCCCTTTCGTCAGCGGCGAGCCGTAAAGGGTGAGCGGCTCCGACGAGGCGCTCGATCTGCGGCGCGACTGGTACTGCCAAAACGACCTATTGCTTGCCAATGTCCGTCGCAGGTGAAACCGCCATGTTCAAACACCCTGCCGCGCGGAATGAAGCATGGGGCAGCAGCAGCAGCACGCGGCGGCGCGCACCGCAAAGTTCCACTCGGCTGTGGCGTTGTGCAGGGGGAACTTGCGGGCGTCGATGTACGGCCCGCCTCGCTTGGCGTCTCCGCTGCGCATGTAGCCCGCCCAGGTGCTGCGCCCCGGGGAGCCCTGCGAAGCTGTGCCGAGGCCAGCCCGCAGGCACAGCTCCCTTGCCGGCAGCTGCGCAGTCGCGCCAGAGCGGTGCAGGAGCGCACGCAGTCCTGGCACAGCATCTTTCTTTTCTAGGCTCACGCAGCCCAAGCACTGTCCTGCGCGGTGCCCACC